AGTAACAAGAAAACAGTTCTGCTTTAGTTTTGCATTTCCGACACCTTTCATTAGTTGTTTTCCTATTGTTTAACTGTAATTCCACTGATTTCAAATCAGCCACATTACTTCATTTATTCTCTGTCAAACCTTGTCTCATAAATACAATGAATAAGTATGAACTCAAATACATGAATCGATAGTCGGTTGAAAACTCTATAAATCTATCGATAATATCTTTTTTTTTTTTTTTTACAAAGCTTTACTTTAATTTTGTGATAATAATGGAATATTTTACAACGCAAAAATCGATCAAAAATAGGTATTCCTAGGTCACAATTTTGACCATCTCGACAACTATTGACAAATGGTCAGTAATATATGTCATATCACAAAATCTTAATCTTACCTTAAAAGAAAATTGTTTAAGTATAGTATTGCATTTTGTGACATCATGAACGAGTGAATATTATTCATTAAACAGTATATGGGATGGTCATTTCTCTGATCACCAATAATTTAAGATACCAATCTGACGAAAAAACATAGTTTTGATCACCACACAATTTTAGATACAAATGATCACCCAAAAAATAAGATACTTTTGATCACCAGGTTTTTTAAAATGTCTTGATGCTGCATCATCTAATCCTCAGACGTCATCTTCAACTTGGTTAGACATTAGTATTTCTCGTCATTGGCTTACATTTAATGAGTTTTTGGTGTGGCTACGATCTTGCTGGTTGATTGTTCCATTAGAATCATGTGCTCGTCCGGTTAGACTCAAAGACTACTCTTGTAAGCATTCGGTTGGTTTAGGAATTCTATTCAATTTATACCAAGTGAACGATAAGACATGTGTTGAATAATTAGGTAAATGAAAAAGAAAAGGACGTCCCAAGAAAGCTAACACAGCTTACGGTAAATAGATATGTTAATAAAGGTTTGAAGTATTCCTTGTCTATTTATTATTTCAATTATTTTTTTTTAGATATTATACTTTTTTGGAGAAATAAATATGGTAGATGAATGATGAAGAATCTGATGATCAAAAGTAAGTTTTCTCGATGATCATTGGTATCTAATATTGTGTGGTTTTCAAAACTATTTTTTTTCGTCAGGATAGTATCTTAAATTGTTTGGTGATCAAAACTATTTTTTTGTGGTGATTAAAGAACATTTTTTCTGTATATATGAATATCTAATTAACGTTCTCTTTTCTTATTCTTTTTTTTCTATCTGTTCTACTTGAATTCTGTCTTCGGTCAACATATCGGCTCGTCTTCTTTTCTCTGCTAATTTAAGGAATTTCTTTTTTCATATGCAAAATTTTTACAAAGAAGAAGGTTATTCAGGATTTTGTTTTTTTTGCGTGTTGTATAAATTTTGTTTTCACTTAATAATCTATTCATTGGTTTTACTTCATTGGGCTCAAAAAGTAAATCCTATATAACTGATAAGAAAACGATTCTTTCTAAATGACTCTTTAACGGTCAATAGTCAAAGCAGGCTTTATTTCTACATTCTATGATCTTTTTAAATTATATTTGCAGGTTTTGTGTAGTCTTTTTTGTATGGTTTTATCAAAACTTTATATATGATGACACGAAAGTATACTTACTATTGAAATCATGTTGAAATATATGAGCGTTGTCTTTTGATCACTCTCAATTGCCTTTGATACGATTATGTCGTTAACAAAAAAATCCGTTGTTTTTCTTAATTTTGCTTTCTTATGATTATCAATGAAGCATGACATCTTCACAAGGTAGTCAACATTTTGTGCAAGGATACGAGTGTAACGGCAAGCATATCGTTTTCTTTTTCTTTTTTGTTCTTCATATTTTTTTCTTCCTTTCGTTTGTTTTTATTTTTATAATAGACAAACTATGTGTTGATATTACAAGACTCAAGCGCATGATAATCAATTCTCAACAGGACATTGATCGATATAGTAATTTTCTATTCTCTTTTTTTTTCGAATTTCAATAGTTAGTAAGAATTAGTGCCAGTTTTGGGTCGATTTATGCTATCTAGACACCTCTCTGTAAAAGTGGAAAAAAATCACTCTAGGAATCATTGGTCATGAGTAGTTTGACATTGGTTCGAATTCAGTCGATTGCAGTTTTGTAAAATCATCTCAAATATTTGACACATTTTGTCAAGTTAACGAAATAATTTCAGTCAGTGGTTGATATTTTTTCAATGAAAGAAGTGATGAATTCTTGATGGCCCTGCAAATCATTCTTGAATTCGTTTTCATTTGATGGTCGTACTATTGACCATTTCAGAGTTAAGCGACCGTGGCCATTTTTTGGATAACTTTTGATCAACTGAGGTTATCGCGCTCGGAGTTGCGTAGTTGGAAAGAGCGGATTCCAATGCATCCTTCTGCATAACTTATTTCGGTCCATAGACTATTTTTTACGGCTTTTTATACGTCGATATATTGTTTTTATCTTTTTACAACAAGTTTTTTTGACATTCTAATTCCCGTTATATCAAATTGTAGCCGGAATGTCGCTGTATATACGATAAAATTTTGACATCTTCATATCGCCTTGTTGATCTCTTTTCTTCAACAAGATCACTTTGATCTATGCTAATTTTACAGTATATACAGCGGAATTCCAACTACAATTTGGTATAACGGGAATTAGAATGTCAAAAAAAGCTTGTTGAAACAGTGGCGGATTTAGGGGAGTGCTTCGATACGATCGCCCCCCCCCCCAACAAAAAAAAAATTTTATATTTATGACAAATTATTTTATAATTATAAATGTTTATCGTAGACTTGCGATCACTGAAAAACTGCATCTGAATTTTTGTAATTATTCGTTTGTTTTGTCGGCAACTCATGTGTTCATATGAAAAGTCAATCAAATCTCCACCAGAACGTGGAGTAGATTCATGTATCATTTCTAAATTTATTCATGAAAAAGTATTTAATGATTTATTTCCGAATATTAAATTATATAAATCACTATTATCAGGCTCATTAGCAGAAATGCGAGCTGAATTTCTTCAATGGAACAATAAATGGATCAATATATGCAAGAAAAATAAAGCAACAACAAATTCATTAAATAATAATACTTCATTAAAACGAAAATTGATAACGATTCCCGATACAGCTATTGAATCATTCAACGAATGTAATGAAGCATTTTTCCTAATATTAAAGCTTTACTAAAAATATTTTCGACTTTACCTGTAAGTACGGCGACAGTCGAAAGATCTTTTTCAGTATTGAAAGTGATTAAAAGCTATTTACGTGCCACAATGGCAGAAAACCGTTTGAACGGTTTAGCATTAATGTATATATATAGAGACATTCCAATTGATGTTGAAACAATCATAACGAAATTTTCTCGTTCTAAGCATCGTGTTGATTTTTCGGTTTGATTTTTTATGTATGAACTTTATTATGTGGGACCCAACGTTTTATTTTGTTTGTTGTATTTGAAAATACTAATAAAACAATACTACATTTTGTTTAACGAAATGAATTCTGTCTTAAAATATTTTGTAAGTGAAACAATAGTACCATCTTGCATGTATTGAAAAGCGAAAATCGCACTCCCCTCCCCCTTCCAAGATTCTAGATCCGCCGCTGTGTTGAAAAGAGATAGAAACAATATATCGACGTATAAACAGTCGTAAAAAAGAGTCTATGGACTCAAATGAGTTATACAGAAAGATGCATTGGACTCCACTCTTTCAAACTACGCAACTCTGAGCTCGATAACCTTAGTCAATCAAAAGTTATTCAAAAACTGACCACGGCCATTTAACTCTGAGATGGACAATAGATTTCTATAGCCTTATTTGTTTATTGAAAAGACCAATATCAATCTTTGATTAAATTAAAGTTTTTCGTTTTCCATCTTTTACTTTTCGATATAATAAGAGAAGGATCAGATATAAGGCGGATTCCATTGTTAAGGGAGTGGGTATGAGTGTTCTGTTGACCAACACACCCTACATTCATACCCACATCCACACGCCACCTACACAAACATTCATTTCATCCAGAAACCCACATCTACACATCCGCACCCACGCACTCACATCTGCACATCCGCACCCACACCTACACACCCATACCCACGCCCACATCCTCCACCCCAACACTCCACGTCCACATCTTGTACCTGAGCAGAAATTCACTATATGCTCTTAGACAAGTTAATAGATACATAAATAGAGATGTCCAATCAAAGAAAATGAGTATAAGAATGTTTTATATGTGTTACGATGTGCGCTCATTTTTCATGCAACAACCACTACTTTGATTTAATTTTGCATTACTACGAGCATTTGGATTCTCAATAGGTCGTTTGCGAGGAATTTTAATGCCAGACATCTGAATTGAATCAAAGAGAATATCAAAAACCACAATTCAACAAAATCAAACACTCACTTCATTCGTGAGATCAAAGACGCCTTCTTCAATTTTATTGCAAATTTCACGAGCTGTCTTGATAAATGCCTGAATTAAAATAAAACATGGCACATTTTCTAAGTTGAGACTGCACGAAAATCTTACTTCTTCGACGTTAACAGCTGTTTTAGCTGATGTCTCCATGAATATCATTCCGTTTTCACGGGCAAAAGCTTCACCTTCTTGCTTTTGGACTTCTCGTCGGTCAGATAAGTCACTTTGAACAGTATCAATATGCAGATTTGAAATCAAACTAAAATAGCTTACCATTTATTACCGATGAGAACAATGACCATGTTTGAAGTCGAATGATTTCGCAAATCATTAATCCACATTGTCAAATGATCAAATGTAGCGCGTCTAGTGAATCAGTTAAATTCAATGAAAACCTAGATTTTTTAAGCATACTTTGTGATATCATAGACAAGAAGTGCACCAGCTGCCCCTCGATAGTATGAACGTATGATCGAACGAAACTGTTCTTGACCAGCCTACAAGACTACATTTGTAATATGAAAAACGCAAGCATATACAAACCGTATCCCAAATCTGTAATTTAATTCGTTTTTCACCAACGGTGACTATTCGAGTACCGAATTCAATGCCTTTAAAATGTTTAGATCACACGATATTGATTCATTTTTTCAAGATTGTTATACCTATCGTACAGTCATTTGCAGCTTGAAAACGCTTATCAGTAAATTGAAGTAAAAGACAAGATTTACCAACGTCTGCGAAAGAAGGGAGAACGAGAGAGCAAAAATTTATAAAAGAAAACATCTTGACAATGTCTGAAGCATACTCATATCGCCGATAATAATATACTTGAATACATACGAATAGTCCATGATGCTTATTTTATTTTCAGGTGAATAAATAGAAGTAAATCGTTAGATCAAAATCTAGAAATGAAAAGAAAAATATAGAAGATGACGATGGGTGTAGGTGTGGGTGTGGGTGTGAATGTTCTCTTCATTCACACATCTACACCCATGCCCACATCTACGAGTTCAATTAGCATCGGACACATTGGAGTATTCCTTGTGAACTAATAAATCAATCAGGCATACAAATAAAACAAGAATTTTCAAGTATCGACTCTTGGTAACAGTATTCTGGTTAAACAAGTACTGAAGAATCGTCAAGCTTTTCATGACAATATTTTGAAGAGCTCATAAAATACTGCTTTTTACACATAAAGTTCGAAAACTCTTTTTTTCATGTCTAAATCCCTAGTACGAACGCTTTTTTTGCTGAGACTGCATATTTGGTCACTGAACGTAATCTATTTCACATAATATCGCACACATTTACGGGATGTCAATCAGAATGGAATTTCCATAATTTAAGTTTGAGTTCGCTGACAGTTTCAGAAGTAAAAAGTGATAGATCAGAGCTGTTACGATCACAATTGCAGCCTGAGATATTAGGTATTTTGGGATGGATAACATAATTCATGGCTAATGAGAAAATCTTTGAGTTCCCCTTCTGATGTGAAATAAGAAGCACGAGTTAGTAATGAATTAAAACCCTCTGCTATTCACCGAATGTATTTTGACTCAATTTTGAAATGTAGGGTATGGTGGATTTTTAAGTGAAAGCTAAGTTACGTATGTTGAACTATCTTCCGATCGGTAGTATTGACTGCGCGTTATCTACGTCCACGAAACCTGACATAAGTTGTGACTTACTTAACGTGTTTAAATGCAAGAGTTATGGACTTACATGAAGTTGTTTCAAGCTAAGGAATAAGACTGAATTCAAGCCATACATACCACAGAGACCAAAATTGAACCGAACTGAACTTGAACCAGGAAAACTCTGTTCAATTCGGCCTCTGATATATAATGTCACCAGATGACTTCGATCAGATGATGAGAGAAGATCCAAAAATGAATGGCATAACAAACCTTTTGAGACGGTAAATCAAGTTTTCGTGTGATCGTATGAAAACTTCGGCGTAATTGTCGGCCACCAAAACTTAAGACAACGTGGGAAACATTTCAACGAAAATCGTTTGAGAAAAATTAAGTGAAGAAGCCCATCTCAGCAAGCGAAATGAAGAAAAGTGTTTAACGTTAGAGAATAGTCTCATTCTTTCGTAGGTATTTGCGTCCTTCAGTTGTGAGTGGTAAACATTAAAGTAAATTAGGATTGGTTATAGCGAAAGTGGATACTGATTCTAAAATGGGAGATTCGGACGCATTCTTCAAAGTTAAAAACTTGCTGGGAGATTTTAATTTGAAAATTTGATTCTCTAGCAGGTGTGCAAAAGGCGCATAATTGTTTCTTCCGCTGAGAGATGAAATCATCTAGTCCATATTATGTTTACAGTGGACTCTGCTTTTTAGCAATATGTTTCATATTTTTACCAGTGACTCAGCTACAAAACTTGACTCATGTTTTGTGTATCAAGCCACGTTATCATATACTTCATGAAGAAAAGATACATCGTGGCCATTGTGAAATTCACTTGAGTCATGATACTGAGGACAAATCATATGATGATAGGAAGGTGTTGGCCAACATGTTGGTAAGACAACTGAATAATTCGATTTTTTGTCTGAAGACTAGGTATACTAATGAAAATGAACCTACTTGATAATTGATCAGGCGTATGGCTGAACAACAATTATAATTATTAGTGTGTAAAAAGAGAAGGGGGAAAAGTATGTTTTACAGGCACTTCAGAATGTAAGAGTACGTGTCAGTTGCATCAGCTACCATGAATACGTTGTCATACTTGATAATGTTTTTAGACAACACACTGCAAAAATGTTCGCCACTGAAAGAACACCTGCGTCAAAAACAAGAACGAGATAAGATGATCGAATTCATAACAAATGCAGAATAAAAGAGAGACATCTACTCGATTTCAATAGGTAAGAAAAGTTATCAAAGTGATTTGCTATTATGCGACTGTAAATATTGTTTCGTGAATTAATCCAGTAATATTTTAAGATGAAAGACTACTTGCCGTAATTCTTAATAAAATGTTACGGGCATTCTCATCAAAAATAAATACACTATTGCTTTGTAGAAGGCTTTTGGTTGGAGGCGAAATCAGATATTTTGTTCTAAGTAGTTTTATTTGTCGATTATGTGTAAAATCATAAAAACGGTAGAGCCGCGTTGAACAATTTGCCAAGTCAGCAATGATGAGAATGTACTTACGAGGAAGTAGATGAATAGATTACAATCATGAATAAAACTGTCGAGAATAGTATGTTGTCATGAAATGAACTTAGAAAATTCTGAACTTTTCCTACGACCGAAAGGTAGGCACACAACCTAGATCACATTTAAGATGAGTTTTTCTAGTTACTTTACCGGTTTGATAATGTTTCGATTCTTGATATACTGATAAATTATCCAGAAATATCTGTCGCTCAGAATTTGAATAGGTTTGACGTGAGTCATATGTAGATGTTGGCATTTTTTTTCCTAACAATAGCAATCACTCACACCCAAGGGAAATATGATACTTCATACTTCACGTACTTTAACCTACTTTACCGTACTTCAAGGTATTTTACCATACTTTACCGTACTTTAACATACTTTAAAATATTTTAACATACGTTTATGCAATTTGAAGTAATTTAATTCACATCCCTTTACTTTTGCTTCTTTTCAAGTTAAACTTTCTACTTATATTGAAATTATACTAATCCAATAGAAATTATATAATTAGCAAACATAATATATAGTGCACTATTCAAGCTTTTCATGGGGCTCTAAAAGAATAGGAAAATTCTGCGTAGTAGTTTTCAACGTTGTATTTTCTATTATTGATAATCGTTGATCGAAAATACAATCTTTATACAACAAGCAAGCATTTCTAGTAGAACAAAACTAGGGCAGGGCAGTTATCCTTACAATAACAGTTATTAGGTAACACGTAACTCAAATTCATTGCCGCAGTTTCTTGATAAGGGAGGGATATTGCGAGGAAATAAAGATTTTTTATAAAATTTGATCAAAGATAATCGGAGTCGAGGAATCCGAATCTGTAATTGGTTTCTCAAAATTCTTCATCTTGATTTCTCTTTATAAAAGCCCATTATTCCCGAGAAATAGCTTTCCCCTGTCGAGAAAGTAGAGTGATGAGTCTTAAGAGAGTTCATGAGAGGATCAAGAGGGTGTGGGGGTGTGGGTGGGTGTGGAGCAAGAGGGAAACAGCAGACTTTGTACTTTAAGGTAATTTACACTACTTAAACGCACTTTGAGCTACTTTAAAGTACTTTTCTGTAATTTTAAAGTGTTTTTCAAAGTACTCTCATATATTTTTAAAGTACTTTGATATACTTCAAGTCTGCCGTTTCTCCCTTGGTGTGGGGTGTAAGAAAGAACTATACCTACACCCACACCCACACCCACACCCACACCCACACCTACACCCACACCCACACCCACACCCATACCCACACCCATACCCACCCACACCCACACCATCATATTTCCGTATAAAAGTAGAGTTCAACAAGAATGGAATCTCGCAGAAACTCCAATTGAATTACTCAAATTGTCGTACTGAAAACTAGTCAGATGTATGTAAGAAAGCAGCACTAAATCATTTGGTAACCTTTTGAAGTAAAACGTAAGGGAAAATATTCAAGTTTTCATAAAAACAAAAGAAACTGTCGATTAACTTCCTGTAATTTGTATTAGTAGAGAACTCGTAAAGTAATGTAAAGCAGCCACTACTAGAAGGTGTGAAATCTCGGAAAATCTGAATATGAATGAACCGCAACAAGCTATTAAAGTGATGCAACAGTCTTTTACGTTCTAACAAAAAGAAGCTTGCTTGATTACAAAAAAACCCACCTCTACTATTTTTTGCTTAACATACCATAAGATAAAAAAGAATGCAAATAGAGATAATAACTTCTAGGTCAAAAAAATGACGTATCTTTTCACCGTTGAATCTTCAATATATGTTTACCTATCATCAAATAACTGAAAATATAGGGTTAATTCATTTGACTACACGCTTGAGTAGATTCTGACCTCTATCAACTGTTTCATTCCTCTCTCTATCTAAACAAACTCGCTTTTAACTGACGATAAACTACTTCTACACTGTAGGCTCATAGCTACAAGAAAAAACTGCTTTCGACTATGAAAACCATATGACGATGTAT